ATAAACTCACATTCTCGGCGAAGAGATAGCAGCATTACATTTCAGTGTTAAAATGAAGAGATCCATAAAAATTGTGGGCTAGCAATCGTATAAACTATGTACAAAACATTGTTTTGCTCCACAGTACGAGCAAAACAGCTTACTACCAAAATAAGAACAGCTTACCTCCACACTGTAAAAAATAAGTGTTCGGGTTTGGCTCTCCAAGGTTCTCTGATCAATATTAGTTTCTAGCCTATGTTTGAACGTATTGTATTAGTTGATTGGTTTGAGGTCTCGATTCTATGTATAGAAATAGTCAACATTAATGAAAATGTTTCCCTGCGCATTTCACTCAATTTCTTACAACAACTCTCAATTTTAACTGCCTATTAAAGATAAAAAAGGAAATGAAAATGATTTTTTAATTTAGTGTAAAATAAGAAATAAATAAAAAATAATTTTTAGTCATTTTTTATTGTTTTTTTATTTTCTCTTCTCTCGAGCAGAGAGAAAAAGTTATTAATGAATTTTTTATATTGAAAATATTCTCTTAATAAAATTTCCAAACGTATTTTTAAAAATGATTTTTGTATAAAATTAAAAATATTTTTATTTTTATTTTCATACAAATAATTTTAAAACGAGTTCTAAACACACTCTTAGTGTATATCATCAGTAACATAACATTTAAAAAAAAAACCCATTAACCCAATCAAAGAGTTAATATCACCACTAACATAAATCAAAATCTCAACTCAAATTCCTATCCGAAAAATAAAAAAAAAAACTCAAACTCAAAGAACTAAATTCACACACACCAACTAAAGGAAAAAAAAAAAAAAAAGGCTTTCTAGTTTCTTTGACCCATATTATAAACCAGACTTCAAATCAAGAACACCACTTTTTTTCTTTTTGCAATGTCATCACCTGGTGATCCTAAGTTTCCTTTGGATAGTAGTTTTGGTGAATCAATGAAAGGAATTTGAGGCCAAGGATGAAGATGACGTTTGCCTGATGAATTCAGAATTATTCTTGATTGACGTGTATTTTTTGTAAAAAAAAATATTATAAGGAACCATGAATCATGATTCGAACCATGAAACGAAGTTCATGGATTAGAGTTATGTGATTAGAACTATTTTTGATTTACGTGTATTTTTTGTGAGAGAAAATACTGTAGCGAACCATGAATCATGATTCGAATCAGGGAACGAATCCCTTTACCAAACATCACCAAGTAATGAAATGTCCTCTTTGAAAATCTAACGTTTGGTTGGAGAATTCAAATCATGTGATTCGAACCATTTTTGATTTACGTGAATTTTTTATAAGAAAAAATACTGTAACGAATCATGAATTATGATTCAAATTAGGGAACGAATCATTCTACCGAACATCTGATTTGAGAGATGAGCCAGAATTGGTTCCAGCAACCTCAAGGTGAATTTCTCGTTCCCATCACCAACATAATATCACCGGGTCACATCTTCAACACCAAATTTAGCCATATTTTCCACCATAAATTCTCAGTTTTAGCAGAAATCCCGATCAAATAATGGGTAGTTGTGACGCGAGCGTGAGCCCAGCCAAGCCACCTCTCAATCACGTCGGACCGCCATCGTATTTGGATTTTGATGGAGGATCTGGCGTCTCTTAACCGACATTGTGAAGATTTTAATTTTTTTCGGTCCAAAATATTGCATAGCCGACATTGTCGGCTCGGCCTGCGGCTTGAAAGTTATTTTCCCTAATAACCCCGAATCCGGCCGAGTAAAACAACCCTTTATATATTTTTAATATTTACTTTTATTTCGTTGCAAGTTTTCTAAGACACATAAAGTGGGCCAACTGTCAATTTATTTCTGCCAAGCTGAGACTCGTCTTTCCCTCCCTCACCTCAGGTGTCAGCCCATTCAAATTCCCATCACTTTTTTTTTTTATAATAAAAACGTCACTTTTTATTTTTAAATAATATACTTTTCTGTAAAACTATATTCGTTTAGTATGAAAATTTAAATTAGAGTCATCTTAACCATAATTTTAAAATTAAAATTAAAATTTATAATTTAAATCATGATTTTAAAATAATAATTTAGAATTAAGGATTTGAATAACTTTATATCAAGAAATGGTGATTTTAAAATTATAATTTAAGCTAGTTTAAAACATCATATCAGATTTTAAATCATCAATCTAAACTAAATATTGATTCTAAATCATGATTCAAAATCACATAAATAAATATTGATGCTGAATCATAATCCATCTATCAAACACACACTAAAGCCTCGTTTATTTTACCGATTCGAGTTTTCAGTTCTTAAAATTTTTTTAAAAAATGTCACATCTAATTTTTTTTATTATAGTGAAAAGCTCTTCTCAGCTCGAATTGAAAACTTGAATTCGCGAAGTGAATGAGGCATAAAATAGCCGCGTCTCTTAGGCCTCGTTCACTTCGCAGATTCGAGTTTTTAATTCAATATGATATGTGACATTTTTAAGAGCTTTTCACTGTAGCAAAAAAAGTTAGATGTGATATTTTCTAAGAATTTTTACTGTAAAAACTTAAAATTGAAAATTCAAATCGGTAAAATGAAGGAGGCTTAACTCCCATTCTCTCTCGTATTCTTCTTTCTTCATCTCTCTCAAAAACCATGAACCCTGAAACTCTTTACACTGTCTTCTATCATCTATCGCTGGCATTACTGACCCAAAAAACTCCTTAGTTGCCATTTTCATAGAGCCGACCCGACCCAAGCTGAACTCGAATGAGCCGACTTAATTTAGGTTTTGTGGCTGAATAGAGTGGCGGGTCTTCATATTTTCACCCTCCCGACATTTCAGCTCGGCCTATATTATTAGGCTACTCCGGCCGAACTCGACCGATTTTACAGCCCTAAGCAAAACGGCCACAAGCACAATTTTCCTAGTTGTATTCTTATTAGGAGAATACTACAATACCGTAAGAGTCCTCTAACCCTTGTCAGTGCGTCAGATCTAACAGCTTAGCCTTGTTTGATTTGACATTGGACCCCACATCTTTTTGCTAATGGAAGAAGAGTCTGGGACGTTTGAAGTTAAAAAAAAAAATTCCAAATCTTTGTCCGGAGACGGCCTCATCAACCAATTTGAAATCCGATGATGAAAATTCTTATGTAGATGGTCAAGGAATTTAAAAAGAAAAATGATTCCCTTTCCTCTGTTGGAGAACAAATCCTGTTTTTTCTTTTGATTTAAAAGTCTCTCGAAGATTTTTTTTTTTTTTTTTTGGTCTGAAAGCTTATTATTGAAAAGAACAGCTTATTATTGAAAAGACTTCGCGCCGGCGGGAGAGAAGTTGGTCACATCGCCATCTCAGACAAGGGCTGGCTGGGTTTCCTCGTCGGAGGGGGATTGGGTTTGCATCACCGTCGGTCTAGGAGTAGAAGTGGGTTTAGCGTGAAATGGGTTACAAAGAATAGACGCATTTAGAAGGAAAAAAGAAACGAATTTTTACGGAATCAAATCCGATTTCTCAAAAAGTTGCTTGAATTTTCTTTTTTTTCTTTTCCCTTTATCAATCAAAGATTCAAACACTTGATCATCAAGCCAGACAAGAGCACAAACATTTCAACTACAAATTGTTACACCATGGTCGAGCAATCGGCCATCCTTTCGCACGACAGGCGCCGAGGACTCCTTGTTGAGAACCGGTTGCAGGCGTCAAGAGAACTACTGTAGCTAAGGTGTCCTTTGGACGTCGAGAGCCATGCAAGGCGACGAACGTCGAGCACCGTGGCCATTATGTCGAGACAGCAAGTCCAGTCAAATCCATCAACAAGTCTTGTCAACTCAGGAAAGGATACATTGCGCCGACTGCTACCGTCGAAGTCAGGAAATCAGGCGGCCGGTGAGAGAGGTCATCATAAAAATACACCTACCCATCCTAAAGTCAAGGGATAGAAGATGGCTTCCTCCTCGGGAAGCGCAGAAGAAATGATTATATGTAAGGGCCTATAAATAGAGCCGAAAAAGCCCATTGAGGGGTTATGCACTATTTCATTACTCAAAGAGAGCTTGTAATCCCAGAAAATATTAGTGCATCTACAAGTGGGTTAGGCAAAGAGTTCTTGCTGAACGACTATAAATGTCTGTCTCCTTTGCGTTATTTTTCAACTTTAATCCTTAACTAAGTCGTGAGTGTTACTGAGAGTGTCTTTGGAGAGTAAATCACGCGTTGTCGGAAAAACACCGTCAACAATTGGCGCTAGAAGGAGGGCATGCTGAACCCAGAAATCGAATCCAGTGAAAAACAGCAACCATGGCTCCGAAGAACACTTGCAGCACGACGGCTAATCAGAGAGACAAGGCTCCCGCCGCCGCAGGAACATCAACGACTCCACCCCTGCCGTCTGCTAGAAATCCCCCAAACCGTATTGACCAGTTCCAGAAGCAGGTCGAAACACTTGCTGCAGCCGTGGAAAAGATGGCCACAGCCCTTGCCAGGCAGGATCAATGGCAAAACTCGATGCCCCTGTTGGAGGATGCGCCGATGAACCCGGTGAACGCCGCCGTTGAGAACCAAGTGATTGGTGACCAACGTGGTGACACCGAGGGGGTCGGTGATAGTGGGGGCAACAACCCCCGCCCAGCCAAGTCGAACAGGTCTGTGGGGAGCCGGCAGCGAGCGGCCAGGAGAGGGCTGAGGCCCAATCTGTTAATAACCAGGGCGCGCCTCAGGAGAGGGCTGCGGACAGAGCTATGAATACCCAGGGCGCGCCTCCTCGACCACGGCAGGACGCTAACAAGAGGAACGTTGTCCTCGTGGAATCCTCGTCTGTGCATGGGGAATACCTTAGGGGAAAGTTAAATGCCCGGCGTGACTGAGACGTCCAGCGTGCCAGGGAGGAAGAGCTTGCAGCCGAGAATAAAGCTCTGGCCGAGAAGATGGCTAGGCTTGAAAACAGATAGGGAGCCGATTGAACAACTTCGAGCAAGTTGTGGGGAAAGTGGCCGAGGCGGTTAATGTCGACGCCAAGATGTACACATCCCACAATCACCCATTCACGGAAAACATTATTCGGGTGCCACTGCCCGACAAGTATAAACCGCCCCCCATTCCGCTATATGATGGAAGGAGCGACCCGGATGATCACTTAGAAGTCTATACAGGGCACATGGTCCTACATGGGTACCCTGAGGAGGTCATGTGTCGGGCCTTCAGAAATCACCTCACTGACTCAGCCAGGAGATGGTTCAGATCCCTGAAACCGAACTCTATTACAAGCTGGGATAATTTGAAGAACGCCTTCTTGACTCAGTTCATAGGTGTCAAAAAATACATCCCACCTAAACAAAACCTCTCAAGGGTATACCAGGGGCCTAATAAGTCCCTGAAGGACTGGATAGCCCGGTTTGGGGAACAGGTTACCGCCACCGAGGGAATCTCCGACGAGGTGGCCCTAATGGGGGCGCTGTCAAGCATGAAAAAGGACATCCCCTACAGTACAGACCTCGACCGAAAACCCTCCCAGACTTACCAGGAATTCATGACAAGGGCGCAGGGATTCATCAACGCCGAGGAGGCTAAGAAGGCCTTAAAGAGCAAGGCAGCAACCCCTGCCAAGGAAGAGGTAAGGCAGGCGAGCAATCAAAACAACGGCAAGAAGTGCCGAGGTAATCATCAGGTGCAAGCCAAACAAAGATACAACCCAGCCCCAAACAGGAGTGGTAACACCTCGACGAGTCAAGGGGAAAACAAGCGGCCGAAGCCGCAAAAGTACGACGCGTACACCCCGCTGACCATGGGAATCGAGGATGTCTATTACGAGATTAATCACCTCCAGGTTTTGCGACGGCCACCGCCGTTGAAGTTTGATCCGGCACGGAGGAACCAAAACAAATACTGCAGGTTCCACGGCGAAAGTGGGCACACCCCGGCCGAATGCTATGACCTGAGGGACGAGGTCGAGAGATTGATCCAAGAAAGGAGGCTCGGTGAGTACCGAGCCGACTGTCGGAACAACAACAACCGGCGGAACAACGACTGACGGGAGGACCAGAGGCATGGTAATCCGCCCGAGCCCGTCGGCGTTATAAGGACGATTTTTGGAGGGCCATACCTCGGAGGCACCTTTCACCGCGCGCAGAAGGATTACGCGCGAGAGGCAAGGGATAAGTTCAACCGGAGGGTCATGAACATCTCCGGTAGAGAAGCGAAGGCTGCGCGGTATGAAGAGGCCGAGATAACATTCTCGGAAGATGATGCGAACGGGATGCATTTTCCCCAGAGCGACGCTCTAGTCGTGGAGGCCATGATCAGTAACCATATGGTTTGTCGCATCCTGGTCGACAATGGCAGCTCGGTGGATATCCTATACGCCGGCTGCCTCGACAAGATTGGAATCCCCTGGTCGAGAATGCAAAACAGCGCGCAGCCCCTATACGGCTTTACTAGGGACAATGACATCCCAGAAGGGGCAATTGAGCTGCCTATGACCACTGGGGACCGACCACACACCTTGACTGTGATGTCAAAATTCTTGGTGGTGAAGGGAGGCGACCAGTACAACGCGGTCATAGGACACCCGACATTAAGGGCACTGAAGGCGGTTACGTCCATCTATCACCAGATGATGAAGTTTCTGACGCCCAATGGGGTCGAAAAAGTCTGAGGAAATCAGTACGAGTCAAGACTCACGTACTTAGAGATGGTTCGCCACTACGCCGAACTGGAGCAAGCAAGGCGAAAAATGAGGATGGTGGTGATGACCGGGGGAGAAGGGTTCGACCTGGATCTGAGGCTCCCAGCGAAAAAGCCTAGAATGAGACTGGTCGAGGAATTGACCGAAGTCCCCATTGATGAAAGAGAACCTTCAAGGAGGCTGAAGGTGGGCTCGGAGCTGGGGGAGCAGACTCGTGAGGGACTGATTGAGTTCTTCAGAAGCAACCTCGACGTGTTCGCCTGGACACACGAAGATATGGAAGGGATAAACCCCGATATCATGTGTCATAGGTTGAACATCGACGAGAAGTGTCTGCCTAAAAGGAAAAAGCGTCGACCCATGAATACGGAGCGGTACGAGGCCCTATGGGAAGAGGTCAACAAGTTAATTAGGAATAACTTCATCCGAGAAGTCTTATACCCCGAATGGGTGTCGAATCCCGTGTTGGTGTGGAAACCCAACGGGGATTGGCGAACATGCGTCGACTTCAGCGATCTGAACAAAGCCTGTCCCAAGGACAGCTTTTCACTACCCAGAATCGATCAGCTGGTCGACGCTACGGCGTGACATGAATTACTGAGCTTCATGGATGCATACTCTGGGTACAACCAGATACCTATGCTCAACTACGACGAAGAGCACACGACATTTGTCACCGACAGAGGTCTCTACTGTTACAAAGTCATGCCCTTCGGTCTAAAAAACGCGGGAGCGACTTATCAACGCCTCGTCAATAAAATGTTCGTAGGACAATTAGGCAAATCAATGGAGCTATACGTGGACAATATGTTGGTGAAGAGCAGGAAAGTCGAGGACCATGTGGAGGACCTCAGGAGAATGTTCGGCATCCTCAGAACGTACAAAATGAAGTTAAATCCCCATAAGTGTGCATTCAGTGTCGCGTCAGGAAAATTCCTGGGTTTCATGGTGAGCAGTCGAGGAATTGAGGTCAATCCGGAAAAGATACAGGCCCTCATCGACATGAAATCGCCTAGGAAGCCCAATGAAGTCTAGAAGCTGACAGGCTGTGTGGCCGCACTTAACATGTTTATTTCAAAATCTACGGATAAGTGCATACCATTCTTTGATACCCTGAGAGGAAGCAAGCCATTCCAATGGACGGAGGAGTGCGAACAAGCGTTCCAACAATTGAAGGAACACCTTGGGAAACCGCCTCTGCTATCCAAACTAGTGACCAGAGAGGTGCTGAGCCTGTATCTGGCGGTCTCGGAACACGCCGTTAGCTCAGTGTTGATCCGCGAAGAGAAGAAGGTGCAGTTGCCGATGTATTACACTAGCAAGCACCTCCTCGACGTTGAGACGAGGTATCCCCAGATGGAAAAGCTCGCCCTCGCGCTAGTTGTGACAGTGAGGAAGTTGCGCCACTACTTCCAAGCCCATAGCATTCAGGTCTTGACCAACCATCCCCTCAGGCAAGTATTACAAAAGCCCGACGCCTCTGGTCGACTCCTAAAATGGTCCATAGAGCCCAGCCAATTCGATATCGACTATAAACCGCAGACTGCCATCAAGGGCTAAGCCCTGGCAGACTTTGTGGCAGAGTTCGCAGGGTTGCCGGATGAAGCCGAGGAGGCTGATGCACTACCACGATGGAAGCTCTACGTCGACGGTAGCTCCAATGACAACGGCAGTGGAGCAGGACTGTGTTGCACACACCTGAGGGACACAAGATCACTTCAGCCATAAGGTTTGAATTCCCCGCGTCCAATAACGAAGCTGAGTATGAGGCGCTGCTGGCCAGACTCCGGTTGGCAGAGCATTTAAGAGTAGGGAGCATAGATATCTTCAGCGATTCATAGCTTGTTGTGAATCAAGTAAAGGGCCAGTACTAAACCCGGGATGAGAAAATGGCCGCGTATCTCAAGAAGGTCAAAGAAGCCTTAGAGAAATTCACGGCCTATGACATACGGCAAGTGCCAAGAGCAGAGAATAACAATGCCGATGCCCTTGCCAGGTTAGCTACGTCGAAAGATGCTGAGCTTCTAAAATTGGTACCTGCGGAAGTCCTAAGGGTCCCGACCACCGAGGGAAAGCCCGAACTCATGGCAGTGAACCACCAACCAAGCTAGATGGAACCAATCATCAGGTACTTGGTCGGCAGCGAACTCCCAGAAGATAGACAGCTAGCAAAGAAGATGAAGTATCAAGCGGCGAGGTACACAATGCACGACGATCTTCTTTATCGAAGGGGGTACTCGATACCCCTGCTCAGGTGCCTCGGCGGAGAAGAGGCGAAGAGGGTGCTCTCAGAGGTGCACGATGGGATATGCGGGAACCACGCATGGGGGCAGTCTTTAGCCTATAAAATACTACGGCAGGGATACTATTGGCCAAATCTCAAGAAAGATGCAGCCGAGTATGCGAAGAGGTGTGATAGCTGCCAAAGGTGCGCCCCCATCCATCGGCTGCACTCCGAAGACCTTACATTAGTAGTATCTCCCTGGCATTTCGCTAAATGGGGGATTGACCTCATTAGCTCGCTGCACAAAACCCCCAGAGGGTATAAGTTCGCCATTGTGGCCGTCGACTACTTTACTAAGTGGGTGGAAGCCGTGCCATTAACAACTATCTTAGAGGAAAAGTGTACGAACTTCATATGGAACAACATAGTTTGCAGGTTTGGTGTACCGCATTCTCTGGTGTCGGATAACGGGCGACAGTTCAACAACGACAACACCAACCAATTTTGTGAACTATTGGGAATTCATAAGAACTTCTCCTCTGTTGTATACCCACAGTCTAACGGGGAGGTCGTGGCGGTCAACAAAGTCATAAAGGTAACACTTAAGCGAAGGCTCGACGCCTATAAAGGAAAATGGGCAGACGAGCTGCCGAAAGTCCTATGGGCCTACAGAACAACGAGTAGGACTACTACGGGGGTAACCCCATTCACGATGGAGTATGGGGCCTAGGCAGTCCTGCCAGTCGAGGTGTCCATTTCGACCATCTGAGTAACTCGGTACGAGGAGGATAGGAACGCCGAGCTGATGGGCTTGGAGCTCGACCTTCTGGAAGAAAGGGGCACAGACACACAACTAAGGCTCGCCGCATACCAAGAAAGAACTGCCAGGTATTATAACAAAAAGGTCAAGCAAAAGTGTTTCGGCGTCGGAGACCTGGTTCTACGGGTGGTAACCCCAAACCCCAAACCCAAGAACTCTGGAGTCTTGGGCCCAACTTGGGAAGGGCCCTACAGGATAAAGGAGGTCATGGCTAATGGGTCGTATCGACTGGCAGAGCTTGACGGTCAAGACATCAAGCACACTTGGAATGTGGACCAGTTGAAGGTCTACTACCAATAATTACGAGAAACGTCAGCCTAATAGGGTAAACTTAGTCTTTTTTACTTTTTACCTATTTCATTTTTCTTTTCTTGTAGGCTGAAAAGTCTTGTAAATTCTACATAAATAAAGGGCAATGTGCACTGTCCACTCAGTCAACTCTGTCCTGCTTTACGACCAATTTTGTTACGCGGGCCCAACCATCTACTACTTATGTCGATACGTAAACCACGACAAACGTCGATACGTCGACCACAATAAACGTCGATACGTCGACTAGAGTAGGTCGGAAACAAGTCCCAGACTTTGTTTTCGACAAAGGGGGTAATAAGGCCAACAATAAGGCCCCCCAAAATCTGCAAAGGCGGTGAGCTCTGTCCCAACCGTACTTAAGCAGTAAACAAAAATTCTCTACGTACTCAACAATCTACTATCTACGTCGACACGTCGACCATGATACGCCAAAGCCAAATCTAAGACTAAGCTTTGACGATGGGGTAATAAGGCCAACAATGAGGCCCCCCCCTAAAAAAAAAAAACTTTGCAAAGATGGCCGAGCCAGAGCTCAACCATACTTAGTGAGAATTAGCAAAAATTTCTACACAAAATAAGTGAAATAAGCATGTATATATAAAAAGAAATAAAAATATTTGTCTTGACCTTATGGTCGTTACAAACCAGCAAATAATGTCTTGGCCTCGCGGCCTGTTAAAAAAAAGATAATACGAGAAAAGCAGATGGTCTTTTCACTGCTCAGCCCCATCCCCCGATGCCTTCTCGCCACCTCCTCCCAGCGCCGATGCACCGCCATCTCCCGGTGCCTGCTCGACGTCCCCAGGCGCTTGTTCAGCGTGCGCTTATATCTGATCGACGCTTCCAGCCTCTTGGTCGAGCTCGACCACCTCCACCTCCTCTTTGTCAGACTCGTTGAGGAAAGACAGGTCGACATCTGGACATTTTCTTCGGAAGCGGTCGAGGATCTGGTCGCTAGCGGATGTCATCAGGGACAGTTGGAGCTCGTCAAACTCAGCGGAGGCCTTGTAAGCCTCAAGTCGCTGAGTAACGAGACCCTCGAAAGCCCCTGAGGCCTTGAATTGCTCCACCTGGGCGTCGACCAAACGCTTGAATTCTGGGGACGACTTGAAGGCCTTCAGGCGGGCATCGATGGAACGGTTATACGTCTCGGACCTCAGGAACTCTTCTAGCACCTCCCTCTTCTTCTGCTCGAAGACGAGAGATGCAAGGTATTCCTGGACTGCCGAGGAGCACCCCGCCAGGAAGCTCTTCTCCTTCTCATTCTCCATAATCTCTTCCAGGGACTGAACTTTGGCCTTTTCAGCGTCCAGGCTGAAGAAGAGCTAGTCCCGAGCAGTGCGCAAAGCTTTAACCTCCTCAGCTGAAGTCCTTGACGCCATGTTCTGCTCAAGCAGAGACTCTAGCTCTGCGTAGTTCTGGAGTGCAATCTCAAGATTCTGAAACACCCAAAGAAGAAAATAAGTTCCGAGGCATCAAAACCGGGCACTCGACTGGTAGATGTTGAGGGATGACAAACCAAGCTTACCGAGACCAGGCACGTCACGGTCAAGCGCTGACACTCCAGGATGCTTTTCCCGGCATAGAGGCTCCAGGAATCCGGGTGGAAGTATGTATATATGGCCTGGAGAGGAAGGCTGAAGCGGGGAGGAAGCCGCAAGGCAGCATCGAGATACTGAGGGACCACGTCCGCGACAGAGAAGTCGGGGTCATTAATCTTCGACCCCGGCATCACCATGGGATCCCCTGGTATGGACGCCGCGACACCTTTCCCCCTATCTGAGCGTCGGGGAGGTTGAGACGAGGATCCCTCGACGTCAGCAGGAGCCTGGGACACCTCGACCTTTGCCCTCTTGACGGTGGGCTCTATCACAAACACCCCCCGAACTGGAGTTTCAGTGACGCCGGGGGATGGGGAGACTTGGACGCGTGGTTGGCTTGGCGGCGTAGGAGGGGAATCTCGCCCCCTCTTCTTCTTTGGCTTGCCCGGAATGGTGTACCTCATTTCGGACGGCGCGACTAAAAAAAAACAGAGAGGAAAAAGGGGGTCAAATCAAAGACTACTCGTCCATTTTCCCTGGCTTTTGCTTCAAAGACGAAGGGAAGAAAAACTCAACTCACCACCAAGAAGATAAGCAGGAGGAAAAACTGGGGAGCGCGTAGTGTCGAAAAGCACAGACAAGCCGTACAGTCGACGGTTCTCAGTAGTATTGAGAACCGAGGCGCGATGGCGGTCTTCAGGATGAGCAAGTATCTCCTCGATGTGCGCAAGTGTGGAAGGACACAGTCGGGGTTGAGGGACGACGTCACCTACAATAAGAAGCAACAATTTGAGAAAGGCTCGACACGTAGAGCGACCGTTATCAGGATAACGGAAATGAATAACCTACAGTATTTGCTGAATACTGTCTGCGTCCCCATCTGACGTTCGCCGTCGAGAGGGTGGGAATTGAAATTGCCTCCAATGAAGAAAAATTAGGGCTTCCACCCGTGCGAACTGGAGGTCTTCTCGACCACCACAGGGGGCACGAGAGGCTTGGCCTTGGCATGGGCAGGCAAGTAGAAAAACCTCCTTTGGTTCAGGGAGGCCTTGAGGGCGTAACAGTATAAAAACTCCTCGACGGTTAGGTCGAGGTTCAAATATTTTCTCCACAAAATTATCATGGAGTTAATGGTCGTCCAGCAGTTGGGAGACAATTGTGCTGGAGAAATCCCGTGGAGGCCGCAAAGGGCCTTCACGAGAGGATGAAAGGGCAGAGTCTGCCCAAAGCTCAAGGAGCGCGTATATACAGTCATATGGCGGGGTGGGGGCGCGTGAGTCCGATCATTAGGAGTCGGAATAATCATGTAAAAATGCAGGGGGTCGATGCCTGCGTCATTGAAGGCCTTCATCGCGGCATGGGGTCTAATTTTTGACGGATTGACATCCGTGGCCATCCCCGTAAGGCCACTGGTCATCGCCACCCCATGGCTGCGGCCTTCGGAAGGGCCGACCTGTAGGCTAACATCCTCGTCATCGAGAAGTATTAGCTCGTCCGACTGGGAGGCAGAGGCCGAAGCCTCGGTGTAGTCCTCGACTTGGCGGAGCAAGGAGTCCCCGCTTTCACTCGAGGATGAGCTAGATGTGGACATATCTTCAGGGTCGTCCCTTACCCTGGATGTGGAGACCTCTCGACCCCTAACCTGTTCTGGCAACATGTTCTGATAACAAGCAAAAGGGGTTTGGTTAGATCCTAGTGGTCGAGAGGTCAAAAGTGCAGTGCGAAGAAGAATGACGAGTGTTCAGTCCAGAGGCCCCAGAGCTAAGGATGTGACACTCGGGCTTTGCAGCTGTAAAAAAAAAAGAAGGAAAATTTTATGCCATAAGCCTAAGGAACTCAGTGTCGAGCCCAAAGGTCTCAGGCCCAAGCACCTGAGCCCAAACGGACCAAGCCGCGCGGACCCAGCCTCAAGCTCACGACCGGCAGCATCAGGTAGGTACATCTCCCCCTGTTACAATAGGGGTTGGCCTGGTTTTGCAGATGTTGGAACCAGACTCACAAAGAGAAAAGCGAAGGGAGTGAGGGCTTACCAGTTTGGAAGAAGGCCTGAGTTTCAAGACAAGAACGAGCAACACGCGGGAGAATGCACGGTGGCGAAGGGTCAAAGACGGAGGCTTCTGGCGAAAATCCGCAGAGTAACGGCGCTCTAGGGGTTGGATAACCAGAGAACCGTGAATACATGGGCATATATATACGCCCGAGGAGAGGCCCAGGGATCCCTGAGGAGTCCAAAAGGCTCCAAATCTCGATTGTAGAATCTGATTCGGCTTCATCTGACGGTGGATCCGAGGGGGTACGATCTAACGGTTGGGGAGAGAGCAAGGGAAATGGATTTGATCGGACTGCTGTGACTCACCCTCCCAACGCCACGTGGCGCCAGGGAAATGGAGACGTGACTGTCAACACGATCGATGTGACTGCTCCACTGCCCGAAAAACCAACCATAATGATACACTATACCGACAAGCGGCCACCAGTACCGGCATAAAAGCGACTACCGCGTGGCGCTCTCGACGCCGTATAGCCAGGAACGCCGCAAGGCGCCATCCCAGTCTAGGGGTAATTGTTACACCATGATCGAGCAATCAGCCGTCCTCTCGTACAACAGACGCCGAGGACTCCTCGTTGAGAACCAGTTGCAGGCGTCGAGAGAACTACTATAGCTAAGGTGCCCTTTGGACGTCGAGAGCCCGTGCAAGGCGACAAACGTCGAGCACCGTGGCCATTACGTCGAGGCAGCAAATCCAGTCAAATCCATCAACAAGTCTTGTCAACTCAGGAATGGATACACTGCGCCGACTACTACTGTCGAAGTCAGGAAATCAGGCGGCCGGTGAGAGAGATCATCATGAAAATACACCTACCCACCCTAAAGTCAAAGGATAAAAGATGACTTCTTCCTCGGGAAGCGCAGAAAAAATAATTATATGTAAAGACCTATAAATAGAACTGAAAAAGCCCTTACGCACTATTTCATTACTCAAAGAGAGTTTGTAATCCCAAAAAATATTAGTACATACACAAGTGAATTAGACAAAAAATTTTTGCAGAACCACTATAAATTTCTGTCTCCTTTGCTTTATTTTTCAACTTTAATCCTTAACTAAACCTTGAATGTTACTGAAAGTGTTTTGGAGAGTAAATCACGCGTTGTCAAAAAAATACCGTCAACACAAATCACTCAAAAAAAAAAAAAAACAATCCGACAAACGAATGAATGTCAAAAATTACCCAAACAAAAAATTCTTCTTGAACAAATGAATGATGAAAGTAGGAAAAAAAACGTATATTGCAACAATCTCCGACATTATTTGGCTTTCATTTTCTTTTATTTTTTTTATTTTTTTGATTTTCTTTAACATTCCTGAACGCCAAACAAGAAGCAGAACATCATGAAAACAAAGAAAATTGTCTTCTTGCGCTTTGCAGGAGTTGGGTGACGAGGGGAAGGAGCCTCGCGCCGATGAAGATCGCCGGGGGCGCGATGGGGCTGGTGCTGGGTGGCGGAGCAAATTCATTCGGCGCGGCCGGAGAGAGTGGTGGGGGGCGAGGTCCTCATTGGTAAGAGAGAAGAAAACCCAGATCTACATGATCGGCGGTGGTGGGTTGCAAGCACCGTCGGATCTTGCAACGGCGATTTCACGACACCGGGAGGAAAAAAATATTGAGTGAAGGAGGAGATGGATTGATGAACAATCGAACAAGAACCTTTTTTTTTTTTTTTTGCAAAAAAAATTGATGAAGAAGAACCATTGACAGTGGTTTTCTCTCTCTCTCTCTCTCTCTCTCTCTAAATTTGATGAAGAAATTTGCTCTGGAAGACGGTGGGCTTGGCTGAAAGTGACGATGAAAAAAATCCTCCGCAATTGAGCCTATGGCAATACGACTGCACCTAACTTGTTTTGGCCTTTGACCAGATCCGACGGTATAGAAAACTTGCCTTTGATTGGTAGATTCGCGCTATTGGATCATAGGGAGCGTTTGGTAGAGAGATTTATTATCTGATTTGTGGTTTTTTACAGTACGTAAATTAAAAATAGTTCAAATCACATGATTTAAATCCTCCAACTAAACGAACTCATAATTTGTTGCTCTTTATAGTATTTTTTTTTAAAAAAATATGTAAATTAGAATAGTTATAAATTATAATTATAAATTTATAAACTAAACATCTACTTAAAGTCAATTTAATTAATAAATTTATGTCAAATCATAATTATTTATTATAATATTTTTTTTTAAAAAAAACACATAAATTAAAAATAATTTTAAATTATATCCGCTTACTTATCAATAGCATAAAAAATGTACTGTAGCACTCCCCTTATTATTATTATTATTATTATTATTTAAAGAGATATGAGAGAGAAGGTACTTGGTTGAAAAGAGAATGGCCTGCATAGGTGTAGTTGGTGGTGGTCTTGTAAGCGGAAACACAAGGACAAGGTCTTATTGCTCCTTATCCTCTGGGAATTCAACAAGCAGACGTGTGGGTACTGCTGTGGTGATAAGGGCAGATTCCATGGCTACCGAGAAACTTGGAATCAAGATTGAGAAGAACCCTCCAGAATCCAAGCTCGCCCAATTGGGTGTCCGAAATTGGCCCAAGTTAGTAAAATAATCCCCCAAAAAAATTATTATTTCTTCTTCTTCTTCCATCAATTTAGAATAAGATGTTGTTATTTTTGTAATGTGAATGCATATTTTAGGATTCGTCATACAATTCTCCGTGTCTCTCTCGATTTTCTCATCTCTTTTCAATTAAATGGCTTCTTCTTTCTCAAGGCACAATAGGTCTTTGTTTTTATTTCATCTCTAGAGGCCAAACTCAGTCGGTGCCACCAATACAAGAATGTATGTAGTTTTTGGTTGAGTGTTTCCTTCATTCTGAGAGATTACCTCTCTTTTTCTTATAGAGTTTATATATATATATATATATATATATATATTTTGCAATGTCAATGTTATTATTGATGTGAGTATTGTAATACAAAAAATTGGCAGATGGGGTTGCCCTCCAAGCAAATTCCCATGGACATATGATGCCAAAGAGACATGCTATCTGCTGGAAGGAAAAGTGAAGGTAACTCCTGCGGGATCCACCGAGTCTGTAGAGATTGGTGCTGGGGATTTGGTGGAATTTCCCAAAGGAATGAACTGCACTTGGGATGTCTCTGCTGCTGTGGACAAGCACTACAATTTTAGCTAGTTAGTTGCTACTCTAATGTTGTTATACATGACATGGTTTATTACAAATTATAAACACTACTCTTTGAGGGTATATTGGCTATAGACCTATATCACGAAGCATTTAACTATAGATCTTGAATTGTGTTTGTGTTATAAGTTATGTAAATATCTACTGTGTGTTGTGCTTATTGTATCACCTGCACGTTTTTTTTTTTTTTTTTTTTTTAACTTATTTTATCTTTAATATTTAGTTTATTTTATTTAAGGGTTTTATGTTATTCAGGGATTGGGTTGCTTTCCCGTATCATGTTAAGTTTGTAGTTTCCTTACCTTGTTTTGAATTTGTTTCCTAGTTTGCTATCTTTTGGGTGTTATGCTTATTGTGTTACGTCACTTTTAAGATTAGGTTATGATCAATCATTAATGTTTAGCTTCCATTTAGTTAGGGATTTGTGTTATATGCCCACAATTTTATGATTCTGATTACTAGTAAACCAAAGCCCTCCCATGCTTATGCAGGTTTTGCTATGTCAAAATTGGACATAACTTGTCCACATAACTGTTAGACTAGATTTTTCTCAGTATATGGTTGTCATCTAGAAATTCCTTGAGTCAACTTTATAAGCCCGAGTTAGAAATTAGAGCTCTCTGTCAAACTTTATAATCTTTGGAAGGCAGAAAATGGTTGGTGGATTCGTGCCATGATTCGAATCATGGTTCGTGGTTCGTTACAGTATTTTTTCTCACAAAAAACATACGTAAATCGAAAATGATTCTGAACCCATAAACTAAACGTCTACTACGACTTTTATCATGGAGACACCTCTAAGACCGCGTGGGAGCAAACCAATGGTTTGACCATTCCAACCAACACCTCCTCGAGGTTTAGGACTTTGGAGGTGAGTAGATCTAGTGCAAGAGAAGTGTCCAGAAGGATATGGATGTCCCTTTTTTAGAGCTCCTGCTTTCTCTCTATTTACTCCTCTGGTATTAACGGTTGCTGCTTGTGCTTCATCTTTATCCTCTTTTTTTATTTTTTATTTTTATTTTTGGTAAATATCGTTATCCTCAGTTGTTCCTCAGACGCATTTTCCTTTCCTTTTCTTTTCTTTTTCTTAAGTGGACTGAATCTCTTTGCTTGGTCACATTAAAGAAAACTATAGTATGGTAAAGAACAAATAGAAGATTTCCCTCAAATGTAAAACTATATGAGACGTCCTTCCTTGTTGTTGTATATTTATGTTGTTGCTTCCTTTGATATCTTACCATGTTTTCCTCCGCATTCCACCACTCATCATCATCATTATCATTATTGGTGATGTTAAAAATTCAACAGAATAATAATGAATTTCTTAACTAAAAATACGGATTTCATGATAAAAAACGTAATTTAAAGCGCAATAAAAGTAGGAGCACACGAGAATTATAGTGTTTCACTATCAATTTGAGAGTTAGATCTATTGTGGAGAGGAGAAAAAATTCACTATTGTGGAGAGATTACACGCACTAATACTTAATATGAGACTTAGGGATTTTCTGACATATAATCTCTTATTTATAGTCTTGGTCACCGCCCTTGATTGTTTCCTTATTTAAATTTGAGATATTTCTCTTATCTTTTGGGATAATTTTCTAAAAGATAAAGATTACAATCAATCAGAACGGTTCCTATATTTGAAAATCATATTTTTAGGTTACAAATAGTAAATATTGGAGGAAATCCTTCATATCTTTATCTCTGCATAGCCTAGACTCCGTAGATGCGTCCCCTAGGTTCTTCGCTTACGTTTATGAGTGCAGTCGACCTCATGTCTATTTTTATCATTCTCATAACGGTCGACTTCTTATTTGTGTTTGATGCTTCTTCGTAGCGATTGACTTCTAAAAGAATTGCTCGTTGACGTGACACCTAGAGTTGAGTTGTCTTTGATAATTTAATACTTTTTTTTTATGACACATGGGCCCATTAGTATTTATTTTAGGGTTCAAGATTGTACCCTACAACAATCATCATTATCGTTATCATTATCTGATGATGATCATCAAGAAGGAAGGAAAAAGATGTACCATGAACATTTATTGTTGAGAGATGTGTTGTTGACAAAAATATTACCATTGCACATTTTGGAACCACTAATAATGTTTTGTTTCCGGGCACAATTTAAGTCTCTAAAATGCGCTTTTTTTTTTTTTTTTGCCGAATTAAAAAAAGATGCATGTAAGAGTTATAATATACCTCCGTGGTGCAATAAAAAGTTGCATGACGTGCAATGCAATCCAAGGTCTCATTTAAATTGTTCCATTTGAATTTCAAATACTAATTTGGCTATAAATAACATCCAAATTAATGATCGACAATGGCAGATCCAACACCATATACAGTGATTTGATGAGGGAGTTGCGAGCGTAGGTGGGGAAGAATGTCACAGATCACACATTTTTGTCCCACTATAACATAAGTGGTTCGTTTTAAGGCTCTAGGATTCTCTAGAGTATTCTTTAAGGTTAGAATCAAGTGGAGATGTTTGGTTCATAAATTAGAATCATGTTATTAAAATTATTTTTAATTTACGTGTATTTTTTGTGAGAGAAAATACTGTAGCGAACAATGAACCATGATTCAAATCATGGTTTGAATCCTCCAACTAAACATCCCACGAATACTCTTGAACAACCTAGACAAATTAAGTCCTCAAAGAAGCATGCACTCATTTTCTCGAGTTAATAAAGCTTTCCTTCATTAAAGCTTCATTTCTTTGTTCTTTTGCTCTTTCCCTAGCCATTTGCAAAAGTATTTGGGGTTAGTAAAGCTGACTTAGCATCGCACAAGCAAAGCGCCGCACGGTCGCGTTGTGAAAAATTGGGCGTGACATAATTTTTATATATTAATTAGCTGTCATTATTGATTTTACTGCATAATCCTATAAAAAATTCTAAAATTCAAAGACCTAAATCTCTAGATTAAAAATTTTAGGAGGAAAGTTACTGAAGCTCTGTTAAGTACTTAGGGAAAACGAAAAAAAAAAAAAAAAAAAAAAAAAAACCAAATTAAAGATTCCATTTGGCTAACCGAGAATATGAAGAAGAAGATGTTGTCCTCTCGGTTCTTGCATTTTAGTAATCTAATGGCCATTGATTGCGCAGATGGATAAGAAGGGAGTCTAGAACAAGCAAATTATGTGCTGACTTCGCCTAATGGTGCTATCTATGATTCTGTTACCGAATACACAGATTCCGTTTGGTCTTGGTATGTTTCATGACTTTGAACTGGTGGGTCATTGTAGTGGCATCATTTGTCTTGCTAGTTATTATAGCATTGAGAAAATTATTCTTTGCTGAATCCAGCACAGGAAAATTAAGACTGGTGATGAGTACGAAATAAAGGAAGTGGAATTTGGTTGTGATTGAAGAAATGATTATAAAGTTGTAGCCATCAGGCACCATCTTTTTCATCACAAAGCTGAGGTATACACCTTGTGTACCAATTCTGGGAAGGAAATCACTTTGGACCTTGAATGCAATCTACACATTCAAAGTTCGTCAGCAGCTAGAATTTCTTTATTATTTTATTATTATTATTATTATTATTATTTTCCTGAATCTCCTCTTTTTTCTCTCTCATCCTCTCTCTCTCTCTGTTTTTTTTTAGTTTTTTTTTTTTTTTTTTTTTTTTTTTTTTTTTTTTTTTTTTTAATTCAATGATGCATGGATCATTTGTGCATCCTAAGCACTACTACTAAATAGAAAGTGGTTCATTTGTGATTCGAATTTTTAATTCGAGTTGAGATGTGATTTTATGTGATAACTTTTTACTGTAGTAAAAAACTTAAATGTGACTGTTTCTGAAAATTTTTTACTATAACTAAACTCGAATCAGCAAAATGAACGGGACCTAAATACTGTGGTTCGAACACATGATATGAGATAAATGAGCAAACTCAGTTCTAGCACCATCTCTCATTAGCAGCGAGGTTGTATCTTTGCCCACCAACGATCAGTCTCGTCTAATTTCTCCACCATTTTCCCCTATATTCGTAAGAGTGTTTTGTAACCAAAGATAACCGTGGTTTTGAAGATCGTCAATGTCATTATTGTGGGAGCTAGTGAAGCCTCAGATCTCTCTTAAGCTCTGACCTCTAATTCTACAGTGCAATTTTCATTGCTTTTTCCTACTTTCAAAAAACTCTCTTCTATTTTTTCTACTTTATTGCCACATTACAGCTTCTACGTGCCCATTCACACTCTCAAATGATTTGTTCTCTGATTTGTTATCTTGCTTAGCTACTAAACAGTTATGAAGAGGGACATCGCAACTATTACCAAATAACAAATGGATACAAAACTGATTCCAATCGCAACGAGAAATGAGCCAAAAAAAAAAAATACTTTTTTTTTTGCCATCATATTTATATATACTTGATCCAAAAACGAATTATTTTTCCCAAAGTGTTTCAAGTTCCACTCTCTTCAAACTGTGAAAACAATGATCCTATTCCAAACGATCAACACACGGCTCACAATCAATTCAGAAAGTCCTCGAGTATTTGCGAATTTCGTACATTATCGAAGATATGGACACCAAATCCTTGTTTAGTGCAGATCCTCCAACGATCTTCTTTATGCAATCCGAGAGCCTAGTATAATAAAGTAGCAGCTGAGTCAATGCAGCCCTCAAGATTTCCATGCCACACAAGAAGTTGCTGAAGGACGTGATGACGTCCTTGTGCATCAGCTCAATCGCAACTTTCCATCTACTTGCAAAATCTTTCACTAAAGGCTCAACCTCCGCAACTGCGATAGCCCTCTCAGAGCCAGCACTTGGGTCCTCCGCTGATAAGACATTCACAAATCAGTAAATTTCTTTTAAAACCTTAATGAAGTACTAGTCTCAGAGATGATTGCACACTCACACGCTCGGGTTTTAACAAATTTGATCAAGTCATTGAAATGCTCTAGAAGCAATTCTTCCTGCATGCAGAGAGAGAGAGAAGTGAATTCACAAAAACTGCAACAGAAACAAAATGCCAGGAAAGATGCCAAGAGACAGCAAGGCATATAATTCAGAAGAGTTTTCTCTCTTGCTCTTACCTCCGCTTTTTCCATATATTTCTCCATTCTCTCTTTCATCGGGGTAACACCAACCAATAATTGAGATGGTTGTTTTTATACAATGAAAAGATGGTTTATGTTTTCCAATTAGCAGGTCATGCCAGCTTTTTTATTTATTTGAATTAAAACTGAAATTTGTAAAATTACAACAATCAAGAGGATGGGGAATCCTCCAACAAAAGGCACAAATAAAACAATAACAAGACAGATTCACAACCAAAAAAAAAAAAGAAAAAAAAGAGAACACCAGCAGCCACAGGACCCTATAACAGTTAAAAATAGACACTTTTGATCCATGCATCTTCGCAACTTAGAGAAACAAAGAAAGTGGAAAATCTGTAAAGACAGTATCTGTTGAGGCCCAAAGCGTGGCAAGGAATTTTGCTGTTTCAAAGTGGAAAATCAAATGCCAAATTTTCCATATTCTATAATTGATGGCAAATTTGCCACAAAATATAACATATGGCAAATTTGGTGAAATAAATGGTACTGCATTGGAGAGTGTTTTTTCCACATAAATGCTAAATTTACAATTGGCACATCAATTATAGCATTGCATTAGAGAAGCTCTTATATTCTATAAGCTCTTATATTCTATTTATATTCTTAACTAAGAACTCATGAACTATCAACAAAATAATAATGAAAATGGGACTGGAATAACTTCTAAAAATAAATACTGAGGATAAGTAAATATCAGGAAGTTTCTACTGCAAGTCTGCAACCATAAACTAACGTATTCAAATGGATTCTTTATTCGTAAAGACCATTACCACAAATAATGCTGTGTTGCTCTTCAGCATTTCCTCAAAGTGCATTTGAATTTTTCCACCTTCTGGGCCAGCTTCCTGAAACCCAAATGACAATGATTGTGTAACAACAGTGGCAAGAGGCCAAAGGATTCATACAGAAGGTACTCGACCAAGCAAGCATGTTTTACTCTTTGATAAGATAGTATGTTTACTGATTATTAGATCATCACAACTTTACAGATGAGAAAAATAACTTTGCACCACTACTGTTATAACCCTTAAGTTTCATTGTCAAGGTGAAATAGATTCTTGATCCAATAGCACAAATTGAATGATTGCTTACCTTCAGTACAGCAATTGTCATATCATAGTTGTTGATCAAAAACACAGTTTGTAGTTTAGGTTTTGCAAATGTTTTGGCAAGCTTGATAAGCAAATCATTAACAGCCATTCGCAGTCGTTCCAAGTTTAATTCAAGCTGCAAACAAACATGGAGATGTATTTTAATTAATCAGCACTATTCCTTCAAAAGCTTTGAATAACCATCTTAAGAGCTTCACAAGTGAGTCTTATGACTTTCTCTATACCAACCTGCCCATCACCATACTCGACATTGAGGTGGATTAGTGATGCTGTAAATTCAGCATAACGCCTCATGACATAGTGAGGGTGAATATCATCTTCCCATAATGTCTTCACATTTGCATTGCGTAGGCTATTTAGATGCATGTCAAACACCATTTTAAAACGAGGCCATAAGACAATGTTGACCTGCTCATAGTCAATAAAAGATTAGTCCAAGACATGGAACGCTAGCTACTAATCTGGCAAAAAAATTACTTCATGAATGAATTCAATAAGTTGTTCCTCCTATATATATTTATATATGTGTATATATATTTCATATGGGTATAGTTTTAATGGTTAATCCGATATTCAGCCATCGATGCGTATTATTGTTTTAATCGTGTGATATTGATTAGACAGATGTAATAAATTGGGTAGTTGACCAGAAAAATGTTATGGCAATTAATGATATTAGATTCTATCACGTCACATCATCAAGTTTCTAAATTTGATGGGTACTTGTAACCATTGAAAACTCATCCATACACACACACACACACACACACACACACACACACACACGTATCATCCTCCCATTACTTTCCTTAATAAAAGAGTCCTTTCATCGCGTTTCTTAACATGTAACAATCTATGAAGCTATAAGGAATACTGTTACAGCTAAAGTGCGTGGTGCTTGATCTAACGATCAAATCCTAGACGATCCTACATGGGTGACGCAGAGAACAAATTATATATGAGTATAGTGAACATGAAACATGTGCAATTAACACAATAAACACATAGTTAGGTACCTTGTCTAAATATGAATCCAAGCATGGAATCCGCCTCCGTGACATAATGAGCTATAAGAAAAAGAATGTATTGCAGTTAAAGAGACATTTGAGAGTGTAGTAAAAAAGAAAACCATATTGCATTGCTATTGCTAACACCCTTCTACAACATCAAAATATACCCCAGATCAGGTGAATGGCAGGCCTATAATACAGTATCAGATTCAGAAAAAGAAAAAAAAATTCAAATCAAACCAACAGAAATTAAATAAGCAAAACCAAGAGGACCGACATCAATTCTCACAAATCCTTCAGAGTAACTAACCTAGACATTATTTCGTACATGATACCTTGTTCTTTTAAGAAGCTTCGATGGGGAATTTTAGGAATGTGGAGATCATCTTTTTCTCTATGTGTTCATGTTTGAAAATTAATATGGACAAAAGTACAATTGCAGAGACCAATGTCGAAGTTAATTAGATTCATCTCATTGCATCATCTGCAGAGGTCGGGAAGTGGCCATTTAAGTACTTAGGTCTTCGCTTGGGTGCAAATCCTCTTGCCCAATAAAGTCTGAGAGTATTGACAGATGGAAAAAGGCCTTTTTCTTTCAATATCTAGAAACCCCCAGAACTCACTTTGTGAGCCACTTTAATCCAGGGGTGGAAGACTGAAACTCATCCAATCCATTCTAGCTACTATTACTATTAATTTATATCCATCATCAGATTTCCTAAGGCAGTTGCTAGGATTCTGGAGAGATAAGCGAGGAAGATTTTGTGTGACAATCGAGAAGGCAGGAGAATAGACGACCTTTTAGCTTGGAATAGGGTGATCAGACCTAAAGAGAAGCGGGGTTCGTAAATGGTTGTGGAGATAACCATGGAAGCAACATTCTTTGTGTGGTGACATTCCAACGAATACAATTAGGTGGCATGTATTCCTTTTTGTACAAGAAGTTTTGCACAAGAAGTACGCACTAGTGATCTTTTTGCACAGTAAGTTTTCTTCACTCAAAATCACATAAAAGTTTACCTCTCCCATTTTGGTCTGACATGTATTCCTTTTTGTTTGTTTGAATTTGGACATGCATACATGATAATAAAACATGAAAGTCGAACTTTGAATAAATACAGGAGTCGGTACAAAAGAGTATGTCACGAACAATCAACAACATTATTAATTAACATGCGTGCCAAATCAAAGACAGGCTACAGGTTTTAAGGATTGCAATATTACCTGGTGCTGGTGTATGATGCGAATCATAAGCATTAGACCTATAGCATCGTAACAATTTGGAAGTATTGAATTGAAATGTTCATCAATGACAGAAAATGGTCCTGACAGCAGAGAATTTATGTTAACTCATTATGGTGAATTTAGTATACCTTAAGAAAAAATGAACAGAAAGAACATGATAACAACCTTCCACAGAACATTTCTAAATATGAAAATTGATACAAGCACAAATGTTAGTTAACCATAAATGCATGTGAAGTTTCTAAATTAAAGAAAAAAAAATAAAAAATAAAAAACCAATATAATTAATACTTGCCCATCCAAAAACTTACATGAAAACGCTCGTGGCAAAATTACAATTAATCACCAAGGAAGTATAATTTATTATTATTATTTTTTTATTTTTTTTTGCAATTAGTAAATAGGAATAGCGCATGCAATTACCACATTTACCTGAGAAAATATCATAGAATATAGGTTCCTCGCCAAAGAAATCACCACAGAAATGATACCTGCAAAATTTGAAGGAATAATTCTCAACATACTTTTTCTTTTGGTTAGCTGCTACTACTACTACTACACACACACACACACACACACACACACACACACACATATATATATATAATAGCAAGGCGCAGGGAAGACTCTAGGGTACTCAGAAGTGGCAGTATCCATAAGCAGCTTGTGCAAGCTCCTGAAGAGGACCTCATAAGGGTACTTGCTGGAGCTGGCTTCAGCTATATGTGGAATTAACGCTGGTTCATCAATTTCCTGAAATGAAAACAAGGAAACCAAGAATGTTCTTTTGTCAGAATTCAAATAAACAAGAGGTTTCAGAGAATAAAAATTCAAGCAAAATCCTTTTATTAATTGAGCGTGAGAAAACGGGAAAAGAAATTAAAGCAAACATGAGTACGTTATTTGGGTAAGGGAGCCTTAAAGGACCTTTAAAATTCTTATTCTCTCCCCAAGAGCAAAAACTGCAGACCGGTTCTTTAATGGTTCTCTTCCTCTTGAAAAGAGACTAGTATTTCTAGTGTCTACACCAATCAGATCACTAGATGTAGCAATATCCAACTGCAGTTTCTCCAGTGCCTGAATATACGCCCGGAAATGTGCACTTAGAACCTGCAAAACATTCAGCTGTACTTCAACACTCTGGAATATTCTTAACCGCGAAATAAATCAGATAGAATTACTACTGTTTTTTGTCGACCAAGAATCACCGATATCTTAAGTTGAACCAAGTTATGTAAATGCAAAATCCTGTATCCGGACCAATGAAGAAGTCTACAGATATCAAGAACAAGCGAACAACCCAAACTTTTTGCTTTTTTTGTTTTGTTTTGTTTTTTTTTCCCTACTTTATATATATCCCCCGAACTTAAAAAGTGAGCCCGATTTTGTTGAACAACCCATTTGCAACCAACTCGTTCACTTCACAACTGGGTTATTTGGTGGGAGAGAAATCAGAGGATTTTGAAGATAAAGAGATGTCATTCGAGGATTTATTCGAGAAAGCAAAGTATCTAGCGTCTATTTGGGCTTCATCAGATGCAGCTTTTAAGCATTATCCATTATGCTTAATTTTGTTAAGTTGGGATGATGTGCTGAGGTAAACTGTACATTATGCTTGTTTTGTGATCTTTGTTTTATTTTCGTTTTTGCTGTAATCAGTTGTAGATGGATCACTCGCCCATCTTTGCAACTTCATTTGTAATGTAATCTTTTCATTATTAATGAAGTTATTGTTCTTATCAAAAATAAATAAATTTTGTTCACACAGGAAGCCACGTATAGCGAGAACCTAGAATTTTGAAAAGAAACACCCTTGCTTGTCATTCTCCTACCAACCTTTCATAATATTGCATCAGTTTGACTTATCAACCTTTTGGACAAAAGATGCAACAAACAAGCAGGGAACTACTTCCTACTCACTCGTAAAACAAATAACAGTAGTAGAAATGACCTTGTTCATTGTGTCAATGTATGCTCCACGAACCTCAGTGTACACCTCCTTGCCATGTTCTTTTAGGAAGGTAACAACATACCTACATTTGCATGACTTTATAATTTAAACCCATATATAACTGAAATGTCTTTCAAAATTCGAGTCAAGAAAGGTAATCACAAGGGAAACCGATACTTTTGCATAGTCAAATGTTAGGAAACAGGGAACTACAAAATCATTCTACATGTAATGGGCAGCATACATATTTAGCCTACTTTATTTGACTACCTCTGAAGAGATGCTTGTGCTATAAACACTACAAATCAGAACTCTTAACGTACAATCTAGGAGAAAAAGGATAAACACACCAGGAAATGGTACATTTTAATATGCATGGTTAGCTTCTCCAGCTACAAATCAACACCATGCTTTCTATAAAATTGAACTTAAGAACTAGTTCTCTAGACTAGAACATCTTCTTATGTCAAAGAAGCGTGTATATGTGCACACACCCAGTCAAACTCCTAAACAACAAAACACAATAGATGAGAAAAAACATGTCTAGTAAAATACGGAACATATGAAGTCACAATATTATCTTGAATTGTTTTATATCAATTAACAAATTAATCATGACAAATACCAAATATCTTAAACTTGCGAAATAGCAAAAGGATATACCCGCAAGCTGCATAACAATGGACTATGGAGTACCAATTTTGAAATTATAATAAGATGCAATAAAATAGTTTAACAATGATAAATTCCCAAAATCTTAAACTGGTGAGATAACAAAAAGACAATAATTCATTGCATATGAATAAAAATAAAAGAAATGTTACAACTAATAGCAGAACTTTGTAAGCCAATCGTAACATACGAAATCGAAACAGTCATATTTTAGAAGAAAAGAAACTACATGACGGTACCAGAAATTACTCACCTGTACTTTAAGAGAATGTTCTGTTGAAGGATCTGGATATTAGTTTTAGGTTTTCTCAGTGCATAAAGCTTCTGAACAATGAAGTCAAACACCTGGAGAAAATAAATATATGGTTGGGCCACTGATTAAACAACCCAGCTTTTAAAGTGCCTATATAAGAACCAGTCACCAACTAAAAGTTCCTAAATATAAAAATTATGATTCTTTCTAAAACGTGATGAGAAAAAGCATATGGAATTCTAGGTTCAACCAGGAAGAAAGATAATTATGGGGCTGGTTATGAATCTTAGCATCATACTCTTGAGCCATGAAGAACAGGTATTTCTTACTCATGATTAATTAGCCAGTATAATATCCTCTTTAAGGATTTGTTCATGAGCAGGCAATCACATAAAAGCACATTAGCAATGAACTACTTAACATCACATTACCTTTGAAACTGCTTTCTGTCTAAGTTTTTCAAGCTCCGGTTGAACGTCTTTCAGAGCCTTTGACATTTTAACCATGGGGTCCACTTCTACAAACTTCACTTTCTTACTAAGAATTTCAAGAGTACTCATGTACTCGTCATTGACCTGGAAAACAATTGAAAGCAAGTATATCACCAGCAGTAAACCTAGTGTAACCAATATCAACTATCAGACCAAACTAAGTTCAAGCTACAAAATGACATGAGCAACAGAACACATATAAAAACATACGGCAACTATGAAACAACACTTCTATCTTGGAATATAAATAAACAAATAAACGAACTATATTCCTTGAGACTACTAAAAAGCATGAGGCCTTCTCAAAAGCCAAAACTCTATGCTTGTTTCATTTTTTGGCTTTTTCTATCTTATGAATCATAAGTGCGCATCATTTCCTTTTTATGCACTGATAGTCAAATGTCACAAAAACTAGAATTGAAATATCATATTTCATAAGAGCACATCGTGTCCTTTTAATTTTGTGTGTGTGTGTGGTGTACTCTAGAAGCAAGTTACTCAAATTATTTTAAATTGGAAGAAATGAAATATCAGCAAAAGACTAACTGGTTTTTTGTATTAGGTTCTTAAAAAGCATGTTTTGGGATTATGATTACTTTAGTCTGGGATTTTGTGAAGACATATTAAGATCTGAGAAGTAACGAAACAAAAATTAATGCCACCGATCAAATTATATGTACATATGAGGTACGTATATCAGGTTATATACACATATGTGTGACATACACGTAGATATACACCCCTACAAACTAATGACGGCTATATGTACCTCTCCATCAATGATGATGTCCACCATTCTTGGAGGGACTATAATGTCCTCGACGAAGTTTGCCAATTTCAACTCAGCCACCTGTTCGAAGAATGCAAAATAATAAAAGTAAAAATGTGACATAAAATGGCAATTGACCAGTAGTGGAGTAAGAGAGTCCAAGCAAAATTAAGCATACAAAGTGCGCTTTTTATAAAACAAATAAACATGACAAAACAGTTAGAAGCACATAACAATGACAAGTAACAAAGTAAATCTTACCATCTATCATAAGTTAACATTATCAAGACAACAATCAGTACTAACTCGAGGGTTTGACCAAACCATCACTAGTAAAACCACACATGACATGTACTTCTATAAAATTGTGAAATAGTAACTCGTGATCTGTATTCTGAATCTGATCAAGGTTTTAAATTGCAGAATCTGGTGCTGAAGAGTTTTCCTTTGCGAGGCGAGGCTAAGGCTCAAGGCATTTTGAGGTGTATGACTCAAAAGAAGGTTTTTGTTTTCACCAACAAGCAGAACAGCCAACATCATTCTTTTTCTAAAGTTTTTTCCGGTGGCAGCCATGGTCTTTTATTTAAAAAATGAAAGGGACAAAAACCACTTTTGGGTCTTTTTTTGGGATGAATTCTGATGTTTGTGCTTTGGGCCCTTAATTTATGTGTAACCCAAACCAACGTATCAATAATTTTTTTTTTTTTTTTTGGTGAAAAAATAAACTTTGAATTAATGAAAAATTAAATACAAGGGCGAGGAATATCGTTAGAGCCAAAACCAGGGTTGGATTAAAACTAAGGGGTGGGCCTCAGAAAAACTTTAAATTAAAACGAAGGGGTGCGCCTCAGGAAACACCTTGAGGCATAGCGTCAAAGGCCTGACTCAAAATAGAGAGGCACGTGTCTCTTTCCTTCCATATGAGGCTTACCCCTCGATTCTCTCTCTCTTTTCCTTAGGGAGGCATGGTTCCATCGCACAATTCTAAATGAAGATTTGATCTTGTAATTCATAATCAAAGCAAAAACAAAGAGGGAAGAAAGAGAGTAATGCCACAACATAATCTGATCCTTTCGTAATCCTATTGAAAAGAAAAACAAGAAGAAAGTGAGCTACGGCACGAAACCAAACCTGACTTCAAAAGACCATGTGAAGCATCAAATAACTGTCTTCTATGTCTCCAATAGAAAGCTAAAAAACATCCAACAATATAACTCATAACATTATAATTTGATCCCTGGCATTAACTTGAGTCTCATTACTTTTCAGTTTTAGATACAAAAGTCTAAAAAATCCCAAAACAAAGTTATCGTACCATTTTTGAATTTTCAATGAACGACTTTTAGAGAAGCAAATACTATATAATAAACAAAAAGGAACAATAAAGAGTCGATTTCAGCACAACAACACCATTTCACAATTCCAAACAAAACCAAACCTATATAAAGGACAGACTAATTCCTATTAACCAACTGAAGAAGAGGACTTGGAGATTGCATTCCATCCCTACTTATCCATTTCTGAATTATTTTTCTTTTCTTGAGAAAGAAAAATCCAAAACGACAATGTTTAAATATTCTTGTAAATGGCTACTTTTGGAAAAATTATTAAATAGAAAAAAAAAGTGAACCTTACAAAGTGAAAGTTGGAGAATAATTAATTTAGCTGGTAAGAAAATCAAGGGAACAAGTTGTCACATGCCATATATTTGGACTATTTGCAACAGAAACAAAATCTTTGAGAAACTACGTCAAAAGAACAAGCTACAAGAGACCAACCAACAACATGAAAATTGTATGCCAAAAGTCCTTATTTTTAAGCCCTACAAAAGAATGCAACATAGCTTTGCCAATTCAAGCTGTGGTACCTTACGATTCTTTAGCTTCAAACCCATATCCATTGATTTCTCCTGCAGAACTTTTATATCTGAACTTATAGAACCAATCTCAGCCTGGAAGTGTTTCATTAAGTATTAGTTATCTTGACAATAATGTTACAATTTTAACAACGAAATATACAGTATACTAGCATTAAAAAAAAAAAAAAAAAAAAAAAAAAAAAAAAAAAAAAAAAACACTTCATTAATGAAAGCAAGAGTAAGTGAAACATAAGAATGACTTGACCCGATTCAACATGCATGAAGAGATTGTAATTCAATAAAATGAGATTCCATATCATTACGATGCCCCTACTTTTCAGATTCATAATCTTTAACATAGAAAAGATGAAAGTGAAATCATACAGATAATACTACCTACACAAGGATAAAGGAAAATTTAAAACTCCTTTCCCATAAATACAGCACGAACAAGAGTCTCTCCAGTGCATAAATAGACAGATCATTGCAAACTGCCTAGTGCCAAGCAATAGATGACATGAACTACCTGAAATCCACTGAGAAGTGTTTCCATCTGCGACAAGATGCTGTCACAATCACGAATTTGGTCATGAAGAGAAACCAAATTATCGCTTTCTTTTATGTAGTCCTGCAATGTCAAATGGTCGAAATGTCACTAAAGTGGGAAACGGGAAAACACAAGCAGAAGACCAAGACATGTTCTGGAGTATGCTAAGCATTTATGGATACAAAACTTCAACAAAGAAACTGAATATGACTATTGTCGGGCAATCTGGAGGGGCAGGAACAAAAGAATCTTTGAGGTCTCTCTCGAGACGGCATAGAGCTGCACTGCTGGGATCATTTGGGATGGCTTGATTTTGCCTTTTGATTTAAAACTTTAGAATGCAGAATGCCCTCCCTGTTTCCAGTAACCTCTACCATCCCGATAAAGTTTTTTCAACTCTTATCAAAAGCAACATAAATAAAAAAATGTGAAAGGTTCTAAAGTTACATAAGAAACAAAACAAAAAAAAACAAAGGAAGAAAAACACTAAAACAAAGAAAGGGAGAGAGAGAGAGAGAGAGAGAGATATGAATAATTCATGAACATTTTGTAATTTAGAATTTTAAAAATATAACTGTCATAAAAATGTAGTCAAATAAAATGTCTACAAGTACAAGAAAAAAACACCAAACTCAAATTGTATGATTAAATTGTGCCATAGCATAGGGGCATGAACTTGAAGATGCTAATAATTGTGAACCCATCTCAACCAAGTGAATGAATCTGTTCAACTGACCCAAACCCAAGACAACTAACTAAAAAGGTCCAAGTTTCTCGCTTCCATCTTGAGAAAGTATTCCACTCATTTGTCAAGTTTTTGGATGAAAAATGAAAAACCCTACATGAACTGCATAATTTAGGTTGTATTGCAATGACTAGTATCACACAACCGATGAGCATGGGCAGAACTAGGATTTTCCTTTGTTTTTTTTCGTTTTTTTGTTTATATGGTTTTTCTTTTCTTTGTTTTGTGGGTTATACTTTTTAGTAGGGTCACCCAAAAAAAAAAAATGAAGCTAAAATAAAATAATAGCATAAATGTAAAACGCCTCATGCCACCTTTTCTTTATAGCAAAAGGCCTCGTTCGTATCACCGTTCTAATAACAACTCAAACTATTTGCTATAGTTATGGATCTTAAAATTCAAAATTCCAGTGAGACCAAAATTTTATAAAACCATTTTGTTATGTAACTCAAATGATATCTTGTCAACAGTTTCCAGCAACTTTTTGCTAAAAAACCATAATATGTATTACGAAAATAATATCCTGATCCCGAAGTACTATAAAAATGGAGACTGAAAAATACTTTACAAGCATAAATGTTCAAAATATACAAAGCATAAACCAGCATTGAGCCAAAGAATACTGTCTAATAACCAAAGACCTGTATCGAGTCCAATTCAACTTGCCGGATATTGTTCTCCACCCCCTTTGCATACTCCCGTAGTTTTGTGCCTTTAGATAGAATATTTGCAACTACCTAACATGGAAATACAAGAGGAATCAAGACATTTCCAAACCAGTAAATAGTTAATGCTGCGAAGAATTACAGAAAATTAAAGTATGAATAATTAACACACACTAGCCATGAATAATTAACACACACTAGCCACTTTTCCAGATGTGATCATATCTAACAACATGCGTAAAGGCCATGCATGTGGGTGTAAGTGTGGATACAAGTTTTTTTTTTATTTTTTAATATAAGAAATGACAATCTCATTGATAAAACAGTGGAAATCAAAGTGGTTGCAGACATAGCCTACGGTAATTCCACACTTGACTCCAACATGAGGTAAAGAGTTTGTATCCCCCACTTCCCAAGTTCAAAAACAAAAGAAAAAAGGCAGAAACCAAAGGATGTACAAATAGGGGAGGACAAGAAGTCCTTGCGGGAATATCAAAAATACAAAAAAAAAAAAAAAGATAAAAGAAAAAGATAAAAGAATTGATGACTAGATAAGCACCAGATCAAAACAATACAGATGCTGAACCTATTGTGTACTCTTTTCATTACTTTTTTAAGTTTCAATAAAAGATTCTCATTTCTTATTTTAAAAAAAAAAAAAATGCAGAACAAAGCCTGATCTCTCAAGATATAATTCCATGCTGATGCTGTAATTTATCAGAACAAGAAAATCCCTCAAACTCTCCAATCTGGGAAGCCAACAGAGCTCACCAGAATTTTATTCTCTCCCAAATCTGCTCAAACTCCACGTCCTCAACATCATCAAAAATCAGATTATTCCTTTCCAGCCACATTTCCCAAATAACGGTATGTATATCCACATTCCAAATTTCTTGCAGCACTTATTCCTCCCCAGCATAAAAGTTGCCGCTAATAAGGTTGTTTACTCTTTGTGGTAGCGACAAGTGAAAACTAAAATCCCCCAGAATCGTCCACCATATGCAGCTAGTGAAGGAACAATGAAGAAAGGAATGATCTAAGGATTTCCCCTGTCTTCTACATAGAACACACCAGCCCAGAGAGAGTGAAAGATGAGGCTTTCTCGTTTGCAACATCTCATTAAGCACACAAGTTTTGAAGCATTACATTTTCTTTTTTTTTTTTTTTTCCTGATACGATCATTGGGAAAATTTTAGTAGGAGGTTGCCACAAGCAATAATTAATTCAAGGATTTAGAGATTTTCCCTTCATTTGACCTTTAGGCATCGAGTAGCTTTTCATAGTTTATAATTGCTGTTGTTCGTGCATGTTTTCTACTTTTTTATTCTTCATTTCTTCTTCTGTTTTCTTTGTTTCTTGAGGGCCTTTTTTTTTTTCTTTTTTTGGAAAAGGAAGTTTAATTCAAGGATGTAATGAGACTGAGTCAAAAGGTAATATCATTAGTAATACCAAATTCAACGTAGGTTGGACTTTGTACATTCCAATCAACTCAAAAATGTTAAATTTAAGGCAAGATATATTTGCTTATCAGGTGAAAGTTTGCAATTAGTGACGAGGTATAATAAGTTTGGCAAAACCCCAAAAAAAAAAAAAAAAAAAAAAAAAAAAAGAAGAGGCAAATAAAGTTGATTCTGAATGTGGGATGCTGATTAGGGGTTCAAGGACTGAATTCACACTCCACTATACCATTTCTTACATGAACAAACTATAAGTCTAACTGCAATCTCTTCAACCTAAATCCTAAGAAAGCTTGCACATAACCTTTTTTTTTAATATGAAACAGGGAAACTAGTATTAAAAACTATAAAGAATTAAAGAAGAGGACAAGGGGTCCACCAAAACAAAAAACATGAAGCATGAAAAAAAAAATCCCAAAAACGGAAAGTGTAAGAAAGCTTGCACATAAGCATATTTTCAAGAACTGGGTAGGAACCACTACTCTAATCTAAATCCTAAAAAATCAACTTAAGTAAAAAATAATGATAAAAAAAGAAATTATCTCAAGATACATTCAAAGGGAATAGTCATTGACTAAACATCGATAAATGACATATTACTCACTTGATCATTTTTACATTCCTCCAGTTCTTGCTGAAGTCCTTCCAATGATATGTCATCACTGAAAAGAAGAGTAAAGTTATTGGGGGAAAAAAGAATTCAATACATGCCATATTCTGCAGCGTAAATAATATTCAACGGGTCAATCATCTCATAAAAGCGCAAATAAATCAGTTCGCATTTCAGATAATCCTCACGCTTGCATCCTTTTTTTCCAATGGAAAAAAAGAAGAAGAAGCAAAAACTGGAATGACGGATTTTTTTCTCGCAACATAGAAAATACATAAGAAACGTTCCCCCATCCACTGTGAATCAATAAAGAAACATAAATTGTAGTATACAGCAGATTGGTTAAAGGGTTCTTATTAAAACGGTTTATCTCAAGTCTAGATTAGTACCACAAACAAGGGAGAAATATATAGTAAATCAGAAGTGTACAGTTCAAAATAACCATTTTTATGGGAAAAAATGGAAAAAACAATTAACTCTACGAAAAAAAAAAAGCGAACCAGACTCGTTGCTGACTAATAATTAAAAGATATTGTCAAAAAAAACACAGATATGATATTTTTTTTTTTTTGCTAATCACAGATATGATATTTAATCACATATACCTGCTTGCATCGTCTTCAACATTTAAGTCCCCAACAAATGTACCCAAATCAAAACCACTTTTCTGTGCATCATTTTCATTACTCTCTTGGTAGTGTAAGGAAAGAGCCTGAGTATTACATTTCAACAAAATAGGAGATACATTTGGATCATCACATACGATACTAGATTTTCCATTCTATAAACACTAAGATTTCAGGTCATATATATGTATATATAGAAATAAATGCAAAATTATTTTTAAACCTCGATCGATACATAGAGAAATTAACATAGCATAGAAAAATTCAGTACTATACCTCTTTAGCGATTGCAAGTTGGGCCATCTTATAACAGCATATACATGAGCTAACCTAGAATAAAGATAGAAATGTTAATGCGATGAATTCAAGAGCTTGTTCCAATGAATAATTTAGTCGGCAATCGGCGATCGGCGTCGAGATCAGATCCGGCCAAGTAGGCACCGGATCTGGTCGGAGATAGGCCCTGAACCACGTCGGCGCCGGAGAGTGAGCGAGACAAAAAAACCTCGCGGAAGGAAGGAAGGAAGGTTAGCCGCAGGAGGCAAACGTGGCTCGCCGGAGGGGAGGAGAGTAGAGAGAGAATTAGAAAGCAGCGAGATGGGAGAGAGGAAATTTTTGTGGTTTTTCGTGATTTTTATTTGGAGAAAATTCAGGTCCGTGGTCCAGTTTTTAATTTAAATTGAAATGTTATTTTATGTGAAAATTTTTTATTCTAGTTAAAAAATTAGATGTAATTATTTTTGAAATTTTTTTACTGTAGCACAACTCGAATCGGTGAAGTGAACATAACCTTAAAAAACCTGTTTGTTTCGATGATTGAGGGTTTCGTTCATTTAATCGATTCGAGGTTTTAATTTTAAGTTTTTACAGTTAAAAGTTCTTTATAAATGTCACATCTAATTTTTTATTTTACAGTTAAAATCTCTCAAAAAATGTTTCATCTCAACTCAAATTAAAAATTCAAATTCGTAAAACGAACAAGATTGAGCTTTAACTTGATTGAAAAGTGAATTTTTGTGATAGAAAAAAGATTTGAATATAATTTTGGGATAATAACCTTTTTATACTTTAAGGTCTCGTTCACTTCGTGGATTTAATTTGAGTTTTCAATTTGAGTTGAAATGTGACATTTTTTGAGAGTTTTTCACTGTAGCAAAAAAAGTTAGATGTGACATTTTCTAAGAACTTTTAACTGTAAAAACTTAAAATTGAAAACTTAAATCGGTGAAATGAACGAGGCCTAAGTATGTTAAAAACTTACGCTTTTAATTTTTTATCTCATTACATCTATACTTTTAAATTATATTTCATATTTAAATTTATGTGCATGTTTGGAATCATTTCCAAAAACGTTTTTCAAGAACTAAAAAATGAAAGTGCTCTCACAAATGCATTTGGCACCGCATTTATTGAAAAACAAAAATTGAAAACGTTTTTTATTTATTCCCTACGTTTTATTTTTCTTTCCCCGACTGCACCCCCCCGATTTCCCATTTTTATTTTCCCCCTCCTCTCCTACCTCGCCCTCGCTGCCC